AAAATTGTGCATGCATATTAACCTCCACATTCCAAGGCTCAGGAATTTAATTTAGTTGACTGCTTCATTTAGTTCATATTCTGTAGAACTTTGACTTTGATGATAAAGCTGTAAGTCTTTGCTAAAATGCTTAAGTATTACGGGTAAGTTATAAAATGGCAAAAGAATAACAGTAAGACATGTTCTTTGAGCTCTTTTATCAAAATTTTGTACTATTTAAGGTTTTTGCAGAAAAGCAGTTAAGTATTTTCAAAGACTGTAATTCTTCAGAAGTACATTGCAATAGTTGGCCATACTTAATTGAAAGTATATTTCAGTTGGTTCTCAGTGTCATGTATGCACTAAAAAACATGTGCCTGCTGCTACTACAAATGAAGCATTGCTCAAATAAAAAGCTTATTAGATTTGTAAATTTACAGGATAGCATCACATATGTTCCCGAAAGTTTAGAAAATGTTTTAAATTATGTCTTTTTTTGTAACATTCATACTGATAATTTTTTTAACATTTTAAGTTTAACAGATTGTATTTCTTTCTTTAAAGTTTCTATACTTGCTTAAGCAAGCCTGATTTGAGTAAGGGTCTTGATTTTTGCAATTATGTTCTGTTAGTTTTGGCATGAATATACTAAAGCTTTTTTTTTCAGCATGTGTTTTCTCTTTGGTTCTCTTTGTATTTACTACTTTTCTCTTTTTCTTCTGTTTTTTCTTTTTTTTTTCTGTTGTTTTTGTTTTGTTTTGGTGTTTTGTTCCTGTCTTCATTGTTTCAGGTATTTCTTTCCCCCTCTGGATTCCCCACGGGCTGGATCGAGATGGTCCAGTTATGCCCAGCTCCTTCCTCCTCCTCCTCCTCTGGTAGAGCACTCTTGCGATGCTGACACTGCCAACCTCCAGTATCCTCACCCTCGCAGACGATCTCTCTCTCGGCCTCTTAATCCCTTACCTGAGAATGAAGGGGTTTAAAACACTGATTTAACACTTAAAGGCCTTATTCAAGTGCTTGTAAATGCTTTCATTCCTGGCTGCTTTTCGTTTTTCTTCATTTTCTTTTAGAAGATTTTTCTAATTTAGGGTCTGTCTTGCATGTATTACAACCAGAACACAGTGTTTGGAACCTAAATGTGTTTGTGCTTCTGCATCAAAGGAACATTTGCCTCACTGGTTGATAACCTTTGATGAATGAGATAAGTACAAGTAACACAAATTGTGAGTTACAGTAGCTGATTTCAATTTCAAAGTGCCTATTCTATAAGTTTTATTTTGAATTGTTACGGAGTTAATTTTATTATGGTTTGTCATTCTGGTTAATGTGAAAGGATTATCATCAAGTTCACTTTGCCTTTGAGACATATTAAGAAATGTTTTACATTTGACAGGCTAATGTTGCAACTGACTAGTTTGTAAAATAAATCATTCCTGTGTATAAAGCAGCAAAACATAATAATGGACTGTTTGGTCTTTTTTTTTTTTTAAGGAAATTTTAAACTACTTGGAATTACTGTTTAAAGCTTTTGTAATTATTCTCCAAGTAGATTATTTAATAAAATATATTTTAAAAGATATGAATCTCTTGCCTTACGAAAACAGAATGTACAGCTGGCCCTTGAACAACATCTGTTTGAATTGCACTGGTCCACTTATACATAGATTTCTTTTTTTTTCAATAAATGCAGTACAATAATGGAGTTTCTTTTCGTTCTGACTTTCTTAATAACCTTGTCTCTAGCATGCATTATTGTAAAAACATCGTAATTTGTATAACATACAAAATAGGTGTTAATTGACTATTACTGGTAAAGCTTCTAGTCAAGGACAGGCTATCAAGTTTTTGGGGAGTCTAAAGTTAGACTCAGATTTTTAACTGCAAGTATATTGGTACCACCTAACCCCTCAGTTGTTCAAGGGTCAACTATATTCTATTTGAGAGATGGTAAAGCTTATATCCCCTTATAATATGTTGCAAAAAAAACCCCAAACAATAAAAAATTAGGAGATGAGTGGGACGTTTATTTAAAAGGTAGACAAATCAGTATGTAGTCTAACATCTACAACTGACAGATACTGACTTCCAACCTAATTACACATTATATTATACTTTTAAAATTTGAAATCAGAAAATGACAATAATTATGGTAAAGTGATTATGAGACTAGCAATATTCTTTTTGGTTCAGTTTTCTCAAGAATTGCCAAGGATTTAATATTCTTTAGGACTAGAGAAGATATAATTTGAGCAGCATTTCATATGTGTCTCAGTTAATCGCATGTACATAATTGTTATAACCATATAATTTATAATTAATTTTCAAAGACACCTTCCCTCTGTATAGTGTCATATCCTTGAAACTTCTTAACATGCAAAGGATAAAAAGCTGGGAAGAAATTAACTTTTCTTGAGATTAATTAAAACATTTTGCCTGTAAAGTTAGCATTTTAGCATTCCAATCTATGAAGAAAAATCTTTTCCAAGTAATTCTCAAGTCTTCTGTTAAAGGACTTGTTTTAGACTTGCTGGTTTATTTAGGTTCAAAGCAAGGGATCTAACTTCAGGCTGAATCTAGCTCGGAATTAAGAATTCACGTCTTTGAGATTTCGATCACTGTAGGGGTGCTTGGGATTAGAATGGGATGATGAAATGAGACAGATTCTCCAATTAACGAATATTGAACATCTTCTATGTGCCAGATACTGTACTAAACACTCTGGGCTGTGTAAGAAATAGGTAGTCTATAGTGGGAGAAGGCATTTAGAAATTACAGAATTTGCAAAAGATAATGAGGATTTAGTTTCATAATAAAGGTTGAAACAGTGATTTATTTGATTTGCTCAGGTGTGGAAGCAATGTGGGATTTCTACAGATAGTGGAGTAGTTGAAGTGGAGGAGGATAGGAGTTCCAGGGTGATGGCCCAGAGGTAAGAGGACGGGGGTGTGTTCAGGCAGCAGGATATAAATATTAGACTGATGTAAGGTTCATTTGGGGAGCTGGTGGAAGATAAATCTAGACTCAAACTTTGTGTCACATTGTATATGGCTTTGGATATCTGCAGCTGAGGTTTGCCACTTGAAGCAGTTGGTAAAGGGAAACTGGGAGATGACTGCCCTTTTTTTTTTTAACTGGATAGACATTACTTCTCTAATTAATTCCCTGGGAAGCATCCCTAGCCTTGGGACTTCTCCAAGATCTACGCAATATCTAAGGAGATTTGAAATTCATTGGGAGCTCTATGCCTCCTTTTCAGATGGCAAGTGAGTTTGGATATTTGTACTTGTTGAGTACACCCATGTGCCAGTGCTCTCCTAGATACTAAATGTAAATTAGCTAGTTAATCCTTGCATTAAACGTCTGAGGCAAATGTTCCAATTACTCCTATTATACATGTGAGGAAATCGGCAGGTTAAAGCTACTTGCCCAAGGCTGCACAGCTAGGAATTGAGAGCCAGGATTGAGGTTTTGGCAGTCTGGCTTCAGTCTATGCTGTCCTGCCTGCAGATATTTTGGATTATAGGTCATTAGTGTCCCAGCAAGTTTCTAGGTGTCATGGGGAGAGCTCTGGTTACTTGATTTTTATGGAGGAAGGACATTTTATTGACTTGGGTAAAAGGATACAGGGTGACTGAATAGATACATTCCAGTAGTTCACCTTCAATGTATGATCATGGTGTAGATAGTTAAGATACTTTGTGAAACAGGATTGCTCATTACACTCAAATAGCATCCTTTCAGTTCTAAAGCTAATAGGTTTATTTTTCAGGATTCAGAAAATCTTGAGATTTTCTCCACTTACGTTTGTTCATGGAGTGTAGACAAAGGTAGAATTGGGATATTTATAGTTTGCAATTGCCACGGTTGGAAGGTTTCAAGAAAAAAATGCCACGAGAATTGTAGAGACATCAACTGAATTTGACAGGAGACTAGTCCACATAAAGTGTTAGAATAGTACCAGGAAAAAAAAAAATAGTACGCAGGACCAAAGCAGATACCATCGGATGAATGACAATAAGGTGTGAAGGTGGAGGTAGTTAAGGGAAGGAGAAACAATCAAGGAAGGCTGAGTTGGTTTAGGTTTTGAGGGGAAAGATGCAGCATTTCTAATGGCAGGAATCAGTAGAGAAGGTATCCAGGTTGCGCAGTGGTTTAGAGGATGCAGAAAAGTAAAGAGAGGGGATAAACAGATGTCCTTCCCCAACAGGCTAAATTAGGAGCAGCTGTTAAACTCTACTCCCAGGTTTGCTGATGGGCCTTAATGCAAGAACTTGCATGAATGAAGTTAGTTAGCTTTGTGGAAGAAATTTTGACATGAAGGTGAGAGGCAGAGTTGAAGTATCCCAATGGTTTCAGTAAAGTCGTAAAGTCGTTCTAAGCAGATGTCAGTGGTGGTATCGGTGGCCTTGAGAACAGAAGAACGGATTACGGGCGAATTAGGTCTCCTCAGCTCTTTCCACCCCGGGTCAACCTTACTCCGGCACAGAGGCGGTTAAGGTGGAGCGAACTATCCCGAAGCTCGGATCTCGAGACATGATGTCCTCGTTGAAGCGTTACTGCAGTGTGTAACAAGGCGAACGAGGACACATTTCAGCGTCTGCTGAGCAGCAAAACGTCTGAAGACGGATTGACAAACAGTACTAAAGTCAACGTAGTGTCTGGAAATATTGTATGAGGTGACCGACGACATTTTGGGGTTGTAGACCGAAACGGTAGGCGTTTTGTGTTTTTTTCCAAGTCGGCAAAGGCTCTCACCGCGTTGCCCTCGGTTCGGCTGCAGCGGGAAGCTACCTCACTGAGCTCCACCTGCGGGGTGCGGCTTCCGCGCTTCAAATTCGGGGACTGCCCGTTCTCGCCCAGTCATCGGCCTCCTTTCCGCCCCGCCCCTTGGCGCTGTCCAATCCGAGGCCAGCTGAGGCCCCGCCCCGTTGCTCGTGCCGCGAACGGACGTAAAACCCAGGGCGCGCGGCGCGGCCAGTCTAGGTAGCCGCGGGTGCAGCGGAGGATTTGCGCACGCGCGTTTGCTGCGCTACCAGGCCGCGGTCGGCCTCCGGGCATTTGCGTACAACTCTGGGCTCCCGCTGCTCGAGTGGCGGGCCTGGTGAGGAGGGGTTTCCTGTGTCCGGAGTGCGGTTCGGACGGGGGCATGCGGGCTCGCTTTCCGCACGCATTCCGGCTAGCGGGCCGCTTGGGCAGTGGTTGTTGGGCGGGGGCCGGGGCTGGGGCCGGGCGCGGGCTGGGGGCGGGGGCCGGAGGCCGGGGGGTGGGGTGGGAGTGGGCGTGAGGGGCCGGCCGGCCGGCTCCGTCGGCTCCTCGGTACCAGCCGGGCTGCCGCGCCGCGCTCTGCGTGGTGAGTGCAACCCCGCGCCTCTGAGAGATTGGCTCTTACAGCGATGGACTTGGAGTTTGGGGGTCACGTCCTCGTATTCTCCCCCCCGCCCGGCTTCCCACGGATGCGCTTCGGTGTGGAGGTTCCTCTCTGCGAAGCGCTCTGGGCCGGCGGCGTTGGCTCCGTGTGCGTCGGCACAGGGTTCTGTTTCTCCGTTTGGTCCCAAGCTGACCCGCGAAGGAGCTTCGTCAGCTAAACGTAGAGGCTCCGCCCGAGGCACCCGGTGCTTCGCTTCTCGTTTTGGTTGCTGCTCGGCCCTTCCCATTTACCCCCGTACCTTCCTTGCCTTCCTTGCATCTGATTTCTTTATGGACAAACAAGACCTAAGAGAAGACACTGTTTAATGTCACTTGTACTTTTGATTTCTCTTCATTACAGACTCTGTTTAATAAAACATGAGGTCCCTTTCGAGGCAGTCGTTTGGAGGACAGCTGTTTTTATGAAAGTATTTCCATTTGCTGTTACCAATTTGAGGTCGTTCGACTGGAGTTTTTACTGCTCCAAAATCAGTCTTTTCACCGAATTTCCGTTTTGTGATCAAAGTTTACGGTAAGCATACGGTAATATGTTAAATGCCTATCTAATTATAGATTATTTCGTAGCACGCTGAGAGTTAATGATGAATGTTAGGGGAGCTTAACAGCCTGTGCTTTTGAATGTGGTTAATTATATGTGTAGACAATTAATGACTAAGGTAAATGATACTTTATACATCCAGGAATGTAACTAAAGCAGTTAAATACTAGTAAGTTCAAGTGTAAAATTTTGAGGTTACTGCTTTAAGGAAATAGCAAGAGAAATCCTGGACATGGCTCTTGAGTTCAGATATAGTAAAAGAAAAGATCATGTTATCTTCTTTTCACTTTAGGAGGAGGGGTGGGAATTGCAATATAGAGGGAATTTAGGGAATTTTTCCTTCTAGGAGAACTTTAGGAATGTGGTATGTCCATGGATGGTTTGTTTATTTATATTTATTTTTTTCCATGGATGGTTTAAAAAAGTGTAATCCTCATTGGAAATGAGAGACTAGGTGTTGGATGACTATCTTCCACTGGCTTGTATTGCTACTGCACCTATGGCCAAGCTCCATTTCAGCTCTTAATACTGTCATAATTAACAGGGATTGTAATTGATAAGGGTCATCTGCTCCCTGAAGGGCGCTGCTTTATATTTGCATTTTCAGTGATAAGTAGAATGTGTTTCATGGTTTGTGTTTGGTAAAGATTGTGTGAATATTTGCTTACTATCTGAATTTTCTAGGATTTCACTCTAAACAGGAATAAATCCTTGAAAATTTGATGCATGTTTTAATGTGGTTTACGTGTCTGTAAATGAATAAATAATTACCGGATTGGACGTGGGAAGGCTAGTTGGAAGACTTGTGTAATAGGTGAGATTAAAAAGTGATAGGTGGTAGGCATTGGCAGTATAGAAGTGGATCTCAGCTCCAGAGGATCTATTTGGAGTTAGAGGCATTAGAATTTGATAACTAGGGGCACCTGGATGGCTTAGTTGGTTAAATGTCTGTCTTTGGCTTGGGTCATAATCCTGAAGTCCTGGGATCGAGCCCCACATTGGGCTCCCTGCTCAGCGGAGAGCCTGCATCTTCACCCTCTGCCCCTCACCCTGCTTGTGCTCTCTCTTTTTCTCTCTAATAAAGAAGTAAAATCTTAAAGAACTATTTTTTTATTTTTATTTATTTATGATAGTCACACAGAGAGAGAGAGAGAGAGAGAGAGAGGCAGAGACACAGGCAGAGGGAGAAGCAGGCTCCATGCACCGGGAGCCCGACGTGGGATTCGATCCCGGGTCTCCGGGATTGCGCCCTGGGCCAAAGGCAGGCGCTAAACCGCTGCGCCATCCAGGGATCCCAAGAAGTAAAATCTTAAAAAAAAAAAAAAATTTGATAACTAATGGAGAGAACAAGAGAAATGGTAAATGGTCCTAAGTGCCTGGCTTGCGTAACAAGAGAATAGGGATAACATAGGTCAAACTAAAGAGCCGGTAGAGAAAAGCTAATGAGTTTGGTTTTATATTTGTTAGCTTTGCATCACTTGAGAGTGTGTTGGGGTAGGGTAGATGTCAGAGAGCCATTTGGAAATCGTCCAGAGCTCAGAGGTCTGAGCTGAAGTTGATTTGAAAAAGAGGAAGATGGCATTGGTGCAGAGGAAAGACTACTCTGGGGCAGACTTGCCTGGCCATAAATTCTCTGCGTCCACATGTGCTGTGTGGCCTGGAAATTTTCTCATAATTCCCTCTCTTGGCCTCAGTTTCTTCAATAGTGAAGATAATAGCTACCTTGCAGATTTGATGGAGGGATTAGAGAAATGTATATAAAATGCTTAGTGCATTACTTGATAATAGTGTAGACACCATAGGTCAACTAGATAGCTAGGGAGTATAGATTATTTCTTTCAACTCCTTTTTTTTGTTCAATTCATATTCCCAGTTCTGTATCAGCTACTGGGAATATATGGGTGAACAAGTTTGAAATGTCTCCAAGGTATGGATATTCTAAAGTCAAAAGATGTTGGGGCACCTTGTGACTCATTTAGTTAAGTGTCTGACTCTTGATCTCAGCCCAGATACTGATCTCAGGTTCATGAGTTCAAGCCCCTCCACACCCAGTGTGGAGCCTACTTAAAAAAGAGAGAAATAAACCAATGTCATAAAGTCAAAGATGTTGAAGATGCTGTCAGTCATTCATAAATATTTCATAAATATGTGCTAGGCATTACAAGTGTTGGGTAAGAGTGATGGACAGATAGGCAAGGCCTGTGCTCTCAGGGAGCAATCTTTTCAGTGGGGGAAGAAAAATACAAAAATAGTGATTTGCTGGAAGAAATTAAAACAATTGTGGGACTATATTTGATTAATGATGAAGAATCACCTATCTTAAAAGGTAACATTTAAATTAAGGTGAATGTTAGGAAGGAGCTAGCTGGTGCTGAGATCTAACAAAGTACTCTAGGCCCCACGGTAGGAATGAGGCTTGGATGTTACAGGAACAGAGACACCAGTATGTGGTGAGTCACGAGCCTCAAGGATGTGTTTGGAATATCGACCTGTTTTGCCCTCTGGACCAGGCTCTACTAGTAGATCTGTTTGATTTGGTGTTTCTTACCGAATTGAAATGTGTTCAGGTGGGGTCTGTAACTTCCAGTTGCTTTCCACTTAACAGTCCTGTTGTCTGACAGTCTTTGTGCCTGAAAGCATTTGAGTTTGAGATCTGTACTTAAGAGAGTGTAAGATGTATGGTACATGACAGAAGGTCTGAGATCAGAATCCTGGGTATCCCTACTATGTAAGGAACACATAGAGGAAAAAGATATCAAGTAAGATATAGAAGTCCTAGTTTGGATTCTTCTAAGACACTTGGCTGTGAAGGGGAGGCGAGAAAGTGGTGGCAGGAAGTATAACTGAAGGATGGGAACAGGTTTCCTACTCCTCCATCTTAATATGGGATGGTTTTGAACATATTTATAGAAATCCAGAAAATGAAATAGAAATACTAAAAAGAAAATGCTGGGATATGATCTGAGAGAAGGGTGCTTATATGATAGTTGGTGCTAAATTTGCTGTGTATTATACATAGTTTGGAGACATTCAGGAAATTTATTGAGAATCTACTCTGGACAAGTCCCTGCTTAGGTAGAAATTCAGTGGTAAAATAGGCCAAGGCCTTGCCCTCATGAAGCTTACATTCTAATATGGAGAAAAAACAGTTAGACAGTTGAATTATATAGCATACTGGATGGTGGTCAGCACCACAGAAGAAAGAAAACAGGGTAAGGAAGTAGGAGTCGATGAGGAGGTTGGTGAGGGAGACCAGACAGGTAAGTGGACTTTTATCAAGACCTGAAAAAAGTGAAGGGGCAAGGTGTGAGGCTATCTGGGGCATCAGTTAGCCCCAGAGGTTAGAGCCAGGGCACAGTCCCTTCAGGCCGGTGCTCTGGCACGTTGTGGGGATAGCAGAGAGGTGAGAATGGAGAGGATGGAGCAAGCAAGGGACAAGGGCAGTAGGAGATGAGATCGGATTATTCATCCCCTTGTTGGCTATTGGAAGCATTGACTTTTAGTCTGAACGAGGTGGGAAACCCGTGGAGGGTTTTGAGCTAAGGGGTGACAATATTTGACTTATTTAACAGGGATAATTTTAGTGTGTGCAGAATAGACTAGGGGAGGAAGAGTGGAGGTGTGGAGATAGTTGTAAGTCTCTTGTAGTGAGTATCCAGGCAGGAGGTGGTGGTGGCTTGACCAAGGCGGTAGCAGTGGAAGTAGTGAGAAAGTACAGGTTCTGCTTATATTATCAGGTACAGACATATCAGGATTTGCTTAGGGATTGCTTTTAGTGTGTGTTTGGGGGAAGGGTGGTAGTTAGTAATCTATGGTTTTTGGTTTTAGCAACTAGAGAATGGAATTGTCATTTTCTCTGTGGAGAACTCTGAAAATCAAGCAGGCTTTCTTGAAGGGGTTGGAATGAGATCACATCAAAATTCAGGTGTAGGAGTCTATTAGATATCTAAGTGAAAATGTCTAGGTAGTTGCATATCTGAGGTTCAGGGGAGAGGCCCAGACTGGAGATAGAGGTTTCATGTTGTATTTAAAACTGAAGCTGAGGGATCCCTGGGTGGCGCAACGGTTTGGCGCCTGCCTTTGGCCCGGGGCGCGATCCTGGAGACCCGGGATCGAATCCCACATCGGGCTCCCGGTGCATGGAGCCTGCTTCTCCCTCTGCCTATGTCTCTGCGCCTGCCCCTCCCCCCCCCTCTCTCTCTGACTATCATAAATAAAAAAAAAAAAAAAAAAACTGAAGCTGAGGGCAATCACCCAGAGAGGGAGAGTCAGTCGAAGGGATCCAGGAGCATGCCCTGAAACCCTCACTGTGTGGAGGTCTAGGAGATGAGGAACCAGTCAAGGAGAAGGAAAAGAAGCAGCTGGGGAGGTTGGAGAACCCAGACAGTTGTGTCTTGGAAAACAGTGAAGAAAGTAGCTCTTTGAGGAAGGAGTACAAATTCCATATGGGCATGTGCTCTCTCTCTCTGTCTCTCTGTCTCTCTCTCATGAATAAATGAATAAAATCTTTAAAAAATTCCATATGGTTAGGTCAAAGAAAACGGGACTGAAAATTGACTGTGGATTATGGGGTTTGGCAATAGGGAGCTCAGTGGTGATGGTGACAAGCATTTGGATGGGGTGGTGGGACAAGAGCCAGCTTGGAGTGGGCCCAGGAGATGACAGGAGTGGACTTAGATGCCTATAGTGATTCCTTTTGGTATCCCTTTTGGTAAAGGGAGTGTAGAGAGAATGAGGAACAGGGAATGAGAGAGGGGAAGGCTTTTTAAGAGATGAGGAACTACTGCATGCTGATGGAAGTGGCTGCACAGAGATTTGACAGTAGTTAGGAGGAGGGCCAGTTGCTGGAATGGATGTCGCTGCAGTGGTGACAGGGTGGGATCAATTGGAGGTGGAGAGGGGAGCTTCCAATGGGAGCATGGATATTTCAGAGTCAAATAAGATTTATAGCTCTCTGTTGTCTTACAACATTTTCTACTTTATAGAGTAATTAAGTTAGCCCAGTTCCCCCAAAACCTATACTTGGGAGCATCTGTCATTGGCCCCAGCCTAGTCCATCATTGTCCTCTATTTCACCAGTTGTGGTAGCTCTTTGAATATCCTTCCAGGTGTTAGTCCCTCTCCCTTTCTCTGCTAGGGTCAGTCCTTCCCTGGGTTGTAGAATACAGTCCGTACTTCCTAACATACCTTTTAAGGTCTTTAGAATCAGACTCCATGGTGTCATTCACCGTGTTATTTTGTACACCCAACCATACTGCCAGAACACGTTGGAGCACTTGGCTATTGCCACCACACACTTAGTGCTTAGAGCGGATTTTGGAATCAGACCTGGGTGTGAATTTTACTAATTGTGCAATATTGGGTAAATTTAGCTAATTTAGTCTGTTTGTTTCTTCCTTCATAAAATGGGATAAATGAGTTAAGGTAGTGGGTATGCAATAAATCTTAATTCTCTTCTACCTTTGCTCATGTTTACTTGTCATTGTTAAAAGGCCTCTCATGTCATACTTGGCCTATAAAAGTTCTCTCTCTTTTTTTGTTTTTAAGATTTTATTTATTCACAGACACGGAGAGAGAGGCAGAGACACAGGCAGAGGGAGAAGCAGGCTCCATGCACGGAGCCTGACATGGGACTTGATCCCGGGTCTCCAGGATCACACCCTGGGCTGAAGGCAGCGCTAAACTGCTGGGCCACCAGGGCCGCCCAGTTCTACTCATTTTTGAATGAGCAAGGCCAATACCCATTTATTGAGCCTTTTATAATTAAATTTTTTTACTGAGTTCCATATAGCCCTTACGTGATAAACACTCTGAAACATTTCAGAGATTACATATCCTAAGTACTGTGATCAGGGTTAAGTAGAACCAATGTAGGCTGGGGGAATCTCTCAATAATACAGATTCAGTGCCGGTGTTTTCTAGAGTTAGTCCTTTGTATACCACGCTGACCATTTTTGCCTGGTCTGTGTGCCAGCTATACTTTATTTAATTTACATTTTTCCTTCTTTCCTTCAGTGGACTTCTTTTTAAACTAATATTTACTCATCCTTAACAATATCTGAAATCAGGAGCTAAATTTTGCTGGTTCACTTTTTTTTTCTATTCTGTGTTAGAATGAGTACCTCATTCTAGGTAGACTTTTAAATTCATCCTGAAATCATCTGTATGTTCTTCAGTGTTGGGTCTTCTTTGTTTCTTTACTACGTAAGTGTGGCAATTGATATTCTTTACTATAGCAAACCAGGAGCAAATTAAGCTGTGTTGTATTTTGTTATGTTTATTTTAATTATAAAAAGATAGTTTGGCATTTATAGTCTCAGCTATGAAGTAGCAAAGTATTCTGGAAATTACCTCTCAAGGCTTGCTGATTTTATCCCCTTTGTGCTGTTCAAAAAAAAATGATTTTCCCCTAAGATTTATTAGCTTTCTAAGATTTATGAAACTTTTAATCATTTGAAAAGGTTTTGTAGTAATATTTGATTTTTTTAAAAAAACTTACTATTTCAGTGAGATGGAAAATTTTCGAGGAATAGCCGAAGAGTCAATTCCAAGCTTTTTAACCAACTCATTACTTGGTAATAGTGAGATTTTGGAAAATGTCACTCTTTCTTCAAATCTTGGCTTGCCTGTTGCCGTTTCAACACTTGCTAGGAATAGATCCGGCACTGACAACAGGTAAGAATTGCTTGAACAGATGGCTTTTTGATAAAATCTAGAAAGCCTGTAACATTGATACTTCCGTAAAAATTTCTCAGGTAAGGGGTGCCTGGGTGGCTCGATTGGTTAAGTGTCCAACTTTTGGTTTCAGCTCAGGTCGTGATCTCAGGATCCTGGGATTGAGCCCCGTGTTGGGCTCCACACTCAGTGGGGAGTCGTCTTAGGGATTCTCTCCTTTTCCCCTTCACCCCTGCTTGCTTGCACGGGTACATGTGTGTATATTCTCTCTCTCTCTTTCTCTCAAATAAGTGAATTTAAAAAAATTTGTCCGCCAAGCTTGAGCTTTTGCTTTATGTGTGTTGTATATATATGATCTCTCTATATACATGTATATCATTATATTCGTGTGTATAGTTATTGTAAAAGATTTCATGTTTCCCTATTCCATTGCTTTAATCTGTAGTGGGTGGGTGGATTTGGAACTGAGTACCAGTGACCTTTTGGTCTGCTAATTGTTTTCTCTGTTCATAGTGTTTGGATTTTGTATTAGTTCAGTCTTATTGGTGGCTAGTAATTTGAGTTGCATCTCCATATATGATGTGCACAGTTCATCCATCTTGTATGATGTGTAAAGTTTGCTCATACTTAAATAATCTAACTATTTTTCTGTCTTCCTTTCAACCTAAACATTTGGTAAGAAGCATTGTCTTTATCTTTGGAATGAAGGAGTTAACTCTAAAAACTTTTAGCTCTGAGGTTTCTGTGACTTTTGTTTAATACATATACATTTCATTCCTGATACATAGATTTTCAGTGCTTTGCACATGAGATGATGGTTTTGAACACTGAGGGCCCTATGTTTTTATCCACTAGTAGTTGGCTTTATAGTCATGTAGCCCTAATGTCATAGTGAATTTTAAATATGTATTATTTAATCATTAACAAATTTTTTTGTGTGTAGGTATCCTGATACAGAGGCTTCTTATTTAGTAGAAGGGAGGTTTTCTGTTCCATCTGAGTCCTCTCCCAGTAGCCAGAGTGAAGCTGAACCAAGAGAGAAGTTACACCTTAGCTTTCAGGATGATGAGTAAGTTCATATCTTGTTTTGTTTTTACCATGTTAAAAGTAGGTCTTAATCTTGCGGGAAATGAAAGTGTGACTGTGTCTCTGAATAATTCTAAATATAAGAATCTTGAAGAGTTTTCTTTATATGATCTTGATCAAAAACCTTTTTTAGCTTTTCAAAATATTTTTCTCATTCCAAAAGTAATAGAAGCTCATTTTATTTTTATTTTTATTTTTTTAGAAGCTCATTTTAAAAAGCAGAAAATACAGAGAACTATCAGGAAGACAATAAGTCTGTAATCTTATTAACTAGAAAATAGTCTTCAGGCACCTGACTGGCTTAGTCCGTAGAGCATGCAACTCTTGATCTCAGGGTTTTGAGGCCCATGTTGGGTGTAGAGATTACTTAAATATAAGATCTTAAAAAATGAGAGAATAGTCATTGATTATCTATAGTCCCAGTCTGCTTTCTTTCTTTCTTTTTTTTTTTTAAGATTTTATTTTATTAGAGTGAAAACAGGAGCAGGAGAGGGGCAGAGCGACAAGAAACAGATGCCCTGCTCAGCGCCAGGCCTGAAATGGGTTCATGATCCCATGAACTTTATGCTCCCACTAAAAGATGTACATGAGCATGCCTACTTCTTGGAGCCCTCCCTAGCATTTGGTGGTATTTTTATTCCTTGCTTTTAGGAGTAAAAAAAATTGATACACATGCATAAATGCATAGAAGAAAATCTGGAAGGCTGTACACTAAAATGTAAATAAATGGTAGTTATCTCTTGCTGGTGGTATTTTAGGCATTCTAAAGTTTTCTTTGTTTGAATTCATAATGGAGTGTTTATGGAATTGAACATACTTTAATGTTTATTCATTACCTACAGTTTTGTTGTGAATTTGCTTCTTGGTAACGTTTGGATGCTTTCTGTATATTAAAGATGTTAACTCTTTGAAAACTCATTGATTCCATGTGTATTTTTGACCGAGTACCTACTGTGTGCTGGTACTTCTCTAAGTACGTGAGAAATACTGGAACAGATGTTAAACAAAAAGACATTAAAAATGTATCCGTTTTATAGTATACTTGAAGGGAAAAGTGCTAGAAAAGAACATGATAAGGAGGATAATTCGGTGAGCTGAAGGGAGTGGTCAGTATGGGCCTCATTGAGGAGGTGTAAAATATGTGTTAGTGTAGGTTAGGTTGTTGGTAATCCTGACAAGTGGTTTTGGTGGAAGGAGGAAGAGGCATAGTAGTGTAGGAGAGTGAGTTTAGGAGCGAATGGGGGTGAGTATTCGAGATGGTGAGTTTGCTGCCAAATGGGTCTTTTGTGATGGGAGAAGTTACTGCATGTTTACATGGTCATAGGAATGATCTGGAAAAGGAAAATCTGATTATGTAAAAGAAGGGAATTGGTGGAGCAACACCTTTACAAAAATAGGAGAAGCGGGGATCCAATGTGCTGTGGAAGGAGATGACTGTAGAGGGAGGACTGTGGATAATTTCTCTATGTTAGCAGGTGGGAAGGCAGAGTGTGGGTGCATGTGGTGCTAAGAAGCTGGGAAAGTTGCCTTTTCAGGGTTCAGGGTCTCAGTGCAGTAGGAGCCATGACATGGCTCAGGGTCTCAGGGTAGAGGAGAAGGGAGGTGTAGATGGTCATGGGCCTGTAGAAGAGTGAGCGGAGAGGGAAATAGTGGCATGTCAGCATGAGGAGTCAGTCCCACTTGAGGGTCGTGTCATGGGTCTAGTGTGATTGTGATGTTTTCTCCAACCCCATTCAGCTGTAGGGGTTGCTGGCAAGGTATGAGGAGAGAGCTGGCTTTAACTAGGCTTGTGGTTTGATGAAAGCAGTGAGGGATGAGGAAGTTGAGGGTGTGGGAAGATCGGCCATGAGGTTTAGGTTAAGGAAGAGGCGAGGATAGCAGAAGGGCGAGGGAGTGTGAGATATGGTTGTAGGAGTGGATTGGGGGCTTGGGTTGCATCAAAGGATTACAGAGTTGAGGTATTAAGGCAGATGACATAAGGGGGTCGTAGGTGACTCCCAATCTAGGGGGCTTTAGTAAAGGTGATCTGGAAGTTGTACTGAGGGGACATGCTGATGGAGACCCATATTCCATCTCCATGCCCAGTGATTCCAAGGCTGTGGGAGAGATGGACAGTCTCCATTTGCCAGTGTTTAAGGGGGTCATTGTCCTCCTAGGACATCCTAATTTTTCCTGGAGAGATGAAGTGAAAGGGACTTCAAATGTCAGCAGTAAGGAGTCCTGGGCTTGGTGAAGGGCATCATGAAGTTGGTCCCACCAAACTGATGTTGGCAATGAGACAGGAGACATGGGGGAGACAGGAGGAGAATATTGGAAGTAACCTCTTCACTCTTTGCGGACTAGGAGATCTGGGACGTGGTCTTGTTTCTTGCTGTTAATGGAAGATAAGAGACCTGGTAGGGTGGCCTAGATGCTCTGTACTGGTGGCCTCACTCTAGACTTTCATTGGGTAGAGGCAAGTGCTTTGGGGCTATTCCTTGCCTGCATTGAGTAGTCTGAAGATCGGGGTTGTTAAGTCTGAGAGCCAGGACTTCCTGTGGCTGCTGTCATGGTGGGTGCACAGCCTGCAGAGGCATGTTCTTAGTCCCTATGTAAAGGATGGCTTCTGTGGCTCCTCCTGGGGGAGGCTGGAATTTATGTTTTAATAATACCCTTATTCTAACTTTGGAATCCATGAATATTTTAGCTGAGGATAGGATTCAAAGATGAAAGTAACTTTCACAAAAATAAAAAAACTTTCACAAAATTTTGAAGGCATTGTTACATAGTGTGAGAAGCCTGATGTCATTTTGGTACTTGACCATTTGTAAATGAATTTTTTTCTCCCTGGAAATTCTCAGAATCTTTCTGAGTCTGGGTGGTTATGCCCCACCTCAACTAAATGCTAATTGGCATCAATCCTGATACATATAGGGATCCCTGGGTGGCACAGTGGTTTGGCGCCTGTCTTTGGCCTAGGGCGCGATCCTGGAGACCCGGGATCGAATCCCACGTCAGGCTCCCGGTGCATGGAGCCTGCTTCTCCCTCTGCCTGTGTCTCTGCCTCTCTCTCTCTCTCTCTCTCTCTCTCTCTCTCTCTGTGACTGTCATAAATAAATAAAAATTAAAAAAAAATCCTGATACATATATTTTAAGATTTTATTTATTCACGAGAGACCCAGAGAGAGAGGCAGAGACACAGGCAGAGGGAGAAGCAGGCTCCTCTCAGGGAGCCCAATGTGGGATCGATCCAGGATCCCAGGATCACGACCTGAACCGAAGGCAGAGCTTAATCACTGAGCCAGTCAGGCTTCCCCAATCTAGAGATTTGTGTCCTTTCATTCTAGATAATTATTATTACTTTGGTAATTTTTTATTTTTCTTTATGAGATTATGGTTTTGGATTGCATGGGTTGGTCTATTTCTATTGTTTTTTTTCCCTTTTTTTGTTACTTTATTTTTTAAAATATATATATTTTTTATTGAAGTTTGATTTGCCAACATATAACACCCAGTGCTCATCCCATCTAGTGCCCCCCTCACTGCCCGTTATCCCATCCCCCTTTCTACCTCCCCTTCCACTACCCCTTGTTTGTTTCCCAGAGTTAGGAGTCTCTCATGTTTTGTCACCCTAATTTTTCCCCACTCATTTTGTCTTTCCTGTATAATCCCTTTCACTATTTTTTATATTCCCCGTATGAATGAAACCACATAATGATTGGTTTTGTTTTGTTTCGGTGCAAATAGACAATGTTCTAAATAAAGTTCCTAATTTTTTTTTCCCTAACCTTCTATTAAATCATTTAGCAGTCATAATTTTGAGAGCTCTTTTTTCTGGTCTTTTTTTTTTTTATTATTTTAATTTTATTTTTTATAATGGCTCCTTTTTGTGGGTGTAATAGCTACTTCAATGTTTTCTGAGAATTCTAATTGAGATTTTTTTAAATTTTTTTAAATTTTTATTTATTATTATTTATGATAGTCACAGAGAGAGAAAGAGAGAGAGGCAGAGACATAGGCAGAGGGAGAAGCAGGCTCCATGCACCGGGAGCCCGACGTGGGCTTCGATCCCGGGTCTCCAGGATCGCGCCCTGGGCCAAAGGCAGGCGCCAAACCGCTGTGCCACCCAGGGATCCCCGCCACCCAGAGATTCCTAATTGAGATTTTTTGAAGTTCTATAAATTATTATTGTCTCTGGGATTGTTTACTTTGTTCATCTTTATTTTTATCCTCCAAGCTGCTGCTTCTCCGTCATTTGATTTATGGCTGTCTCTTAGGTTGCTAGTGCAGGCTCGCAGGTATCCGGGTCTCATTTCTGTTAGGTCCTCATGTGAGCTGGGCAATTTTCCTGGATGGCTTCGTCTTAAGGTGAGCAGGCTGAGGAGCCTTCCATTCATGCTAGGTCTTTAATGCTGTTATCACCACCATAGTTTCACTCTGCACAGCCAGTTCTATGCTTTTTCTGGCAAAGAACCTTCCTGGGTGTGTAGCATCATGTTGACTCTGCTGTTTTGTTTGTATGGGTTGGGGAGCAGGAGTGGAATATTGCCCAGCATGGGCATCTGACAGACTTAAACTCAACCTCTCCCTCTGGACTCCCTTCTGCCTTCTCTTCTACTGTAGTCAGGAAACATTTCTGCAGTTCTTCCTAGCAAATTTGTTTTCTGCTTCCAGGCCCTTTTGTTCTTGTTCTGGGCCACAACTTTCATTTCTTCTACATACCCCATCTGCTTTTCAGATTTTAGAATCTGAGGTAAGCTTAGCTAGGATTGGTGGCTCTCATCCAGATTGCTTCACTTTTATAGATGTCCTTACTGTCATTTTCATGCACTCCTAGAAGTTACTTTTGTCACTTTTTTTTTTTTAAGATTTTATTTATTCATTCTTGAGAGAGACAGAGAGAGGCAGAGGGAGAAGCAGGCTCCCTGCAGGGAGCCTGATGTGGGACTCAGTCTTGGGACTCCGGGATCATGCCCTGAGCCAAAGGCAGACTTTCAACCGCTGAGCCACCCAGGCATCCCACTTTTGTCACTTTTACTTGAAGGTTATTTTACCTAATATTTGACTTAGTTTGAAGAATTTTGATGAGCTAATGAAAATAAGTGATAGATATATATAGTTTTGAGGAAGTGGATTTAGGGGGAGGTGGTTAATATAACTGGCTGTGTTATCATAAAGTTCTAATGGTCACACTACAGTTGACCCTTGAACTGCATGGGTCCACTTACATGCAGATCTGTTTCAATAAATATGTTGTACTATAAATGTATTTTCTTTATAATTTTCTTAATACATTTTCTTTTCTCTAACTTTATTATAAGAATATTGTATATAATACATATACAAAGTGTGGGTTAATTGCATATATTACATGTAAGGCTTCTAGTTAACAGTAGTTGAATTCAGTAGTTAAGTTTTGGGGGAGTCAAAAGTTAGACATGGATTTCTAATTATGCAGGTTGGTGTTCCTAACCCCCATCTTGTTCAAGGGTAAAGCGCACATGCTCTTCTTGGAGTGAGGGGGCCTTTAAAATATAAAATTAACCTAAATGTCATGACTTGTTTTTTTATTTCATGTCACCATCTTGCCTTCCCCACCACCTTTTTTTTTTTTCGTATGACACATAGGGATTTTTATCTTTCTTTTCCCCTTCAGATTCTTTTTTTTTATTTGAAATATAATTGATATATAACCTTGTTAGTTTTAGTTGTACAGTGTAATGATTAAATATTTGTATATACTATGAAATGATCAACACAAGTCCAGTTAATATCTGTCACCTTACATAATTACAGAAATTTTTTTTTCTTGTGATGAGAACTCTTTAGATTTACTCTCTTAAGAACTTTCAAATTTGCAATACAGTGTTATTACCTGAGGTCACCATGCTATACATTATATCCACGTGACTTAGTTATATCTGAAAGTTTGTACCTTTGACTCTCTTTACCCATTTCTCCTGCCCCTGGTCCCCAACCTCTGGGAACCATTAATCTATTTTCTGTAGCTATAAGCTTAGCTTTTTGTTTTTATTTTTAGGTTTTACATATAAATGAGATTATGTGGTATTTGTCTTTCTCTTATTGTAACACCCTTAAAATCCATCCATGTTATTACAAATGGCAAGACTCCCTTCTTTTTTTTTTTATGGCTGAATAGTACCCCATTATGTATATATACAGCATTTTTTTCATTCATCTATCAGTGGACACTTAGGTTGTTTCCAACTTGATTATTGTAAATAATGCTGCAGTGTGGGGATCCCTGGGTGGCTCAGCGGTTTAGCGCCTGCCTTTGGCCCACAGCGCAACCCTGGAGTCCCGCGTCGGGCTCCCGGCATGGAGCCTCTTCTCCCTCCTCCTGTGTCTCTGCCTCTCTCTCTCTATGTCTATCATATGTAAATAAATAAATAAATAAATAAATAAATCTTTAAAAAAAAATAATGCTGCAGTGAACATGGGTACCATATATCTTTTTGAGTTAGTATTTTAGTTTTCTTTGGATAAATACCCTAAAGTGGGATTGCTGGATCATGTGGTAGTTTTATTTTTAATTTTTAAAGAACCTCCATTTGTTTTCCATAGTGACTGCAACAGTTTACATTCCCAGTGTACATTTCCCCCAGCAGTGCACATCCTCACCAACACTTGTTATTTCTTTTTTTCGTTTTTTAAAGATTTTATTTATTTGTTCATGAGAGAGACAGTGACACAGAGACACAGGCAGAGGGAGAAGCAGGCTCCCTCTGAGGAACCCGATGCGGGACTCCATCCCAGGACTCTGGGATCACGACCTGAGCCAAAGGCAGACGCTCAACCACTGAGCCACCCAGGTGTCTCTATTTCTTGTCTTTTAATAATAGTTATTACAGGGTGTCTGGTTGGCTCAGTTAAGCATCTGTCTTCTGCTCGGGTCATGACCCTGGGGCCTTAGAATTGAGCCTCCACGTCATTGTGCTCTCTGCTGAGTGGGGAGCCTGCTTCTTCTCCCTCTGCCTGCCACTCTGCCTGCTTGTGTTCCCTCTTTCAGTTAAATAAAATATTAAAAAAGAAAGTTATTATAACAGGTACTAGGTGATGTCTCATTGTGGTACTGATTTGCATTTCCTTGATGATTAGTGATGCTGAAGATCTTTTCCTGTACCTGTTGGTTATCTGTATGTCTTTGGAAAAATATTTTCAAATCCACCCATTTTTAATCATATTGTTTGCTTTTGTTGTTGTTGTTGTTTTAGTTGTTGAGTTGTAGGAGTTCTTTATATATTTTGGATATTATCCCTTTATTAGATATGGTTTACAGATCTTTTCTCCCATGCTGTAGATTACCCTTTCATTTTGTCAGTTTCTTTGTTGTACATACCCCCCCCACACACCTCTTTTTCTCTCTTCTCTATCATACAACTTTGTATCCATTTATAGTCTTTCCACCTATCCCTACCTTCTGTTTTACTCAGCTTCTGTTTGGGATGAAACTTTTCTTTATCCACCTGTGAATGCACCTTTGGATTGAGCTGTTGGTGGTGGCTTTCTGTGTATTACAGTCCCAATACAGAGATGGAGAAACTGGGAGGTAAATTAGAGTGGGGAGTTGCCTCAGCACAGAGGGTTAGCACTTGGAATATGTGGGAGGACTGTCTTCTTTTCATCCATCATAGTCAGATTTAAGCCTGGCCCTAGGTATCAGTGTGTCAGATGATGAATTTATTACATCTAGAGGGCTTTCTTTAAAAAGCTTATCATACTCCTCCTCTTGCTGGTCAAAGGCTTTGGAGCTGCATTAGACCCAAAAGCTTTTGCAGAAGTTTGGGAGGAAAATTGCCTTTAAGGAAAAACATTGTCATCCATATATAAAACAACAAAGATACAAAAATGGGGACAGGCCAGTGGCAGGGGCTAAAAGTAAAACTTTTAAAGCATTTAGTAATTCAGAGAATCCGCTTTTTGGCAAATATGCTCATATCCTTTTAAGTCTATTGTTTTTAGGAAGCTGAGTTTTTCTCCACGTGTGATAGATTCAGAGATACTTAGGAAAGAAAAAAACCTTTTTATCACTTGAAAGGCAGAATAGCAATGTGATGATGTATTTGATTTTGGTAGACCATGTATCTCTGGATCCAAAATGGTGTGCAGTTCCCAGGGCCCCTGCAGTGGAGCCAATTTCAGTTTCTGGGTGGTCCTAGAAATTTTTCTTTTCACTGTAATCATTTTTTTTTCTTTTTCAGAGGTTAAATACATAACTGGCTAATCAATATTTTATTCTATTTTCTGATAAGTTCTATCTCTAAGAAAAAAAATCCTATAGAAGGTCAACACTTGTCAGATGCTGGTCTTGGAGAGTCTTCTTTGCAAAGTGATATAACAAGAACAGGAGAGGAGCAAGCTACAACTGCAAAACCCTTGCAGAGCCAAGATCCTTATGATAGGATTTCACCACTGGAACAAGTGCAAGGTACTGAACTTGCAGAAATTACTTCCTAATGTATATATTTAAATTTCCTTTCTCATTTGTCTATTTTTGGTGTTTATCTTAAGCTATGATATGGTAAACTGAAAACACTTATTGTTTGGCAATTACCTGTTAATATTTTTACAGGAAAAGGTCTCTTGGGTAATCTTCTAATTGTCTTCACTGATTAAGCTGAAAGCTCCTTTCCTTTGGAAACCATGCTGTCAGGTGGCCACAGCACACATCACGTTCAAGACATATCTTTCACATCCTCACCCCACCAATCAATTTATATTACTACTAGTCATTTTTGTTCCTAAATTTAATTTTATATAAGTTGGTGAATTATAAATTCTAAAAAAAATTGTGTATAAGAAAACCAAGTTGAATGCTTTGGAGTCATTTGAACAATTGCTATCAAATTGGATCTGGCAAAGAAACTATAAAAATAGGGACTCCTGGATGGCTCAGTGGTTGAGCATCTGCCTTTGGCTCAGGGCGTGATCCTGGAGTTCCAGGATCGAGTCCCACATTGGGCTTCCTGCATGGAGCCTGCTTCTCCCTCTGCCTATGTCTCTGCCTCTCTCATGAATAAATAAATAAATAAAATCTTAAAAAAAAAGAAAGATTTTTTTTAAATTTTTTTTTTTAAAGATTTTATTTTATTTATTCATGAGAGACACAGACAGAGAGAGAGAGAGGCAGAGACACAGGCAGAGAGAGAAGCAGGCTCCATGCAAGGAGCCCGATGTGGGACTTGATCCTGGGTCTCCAGGATCACACCCCAGGCTGCAGGCGGCGCCAAACCGCTGCGCCACCGGGGCTGCCCAAAAGAAAGATTTTTAACAAACTTACAAAAGTACCTTCCACTCATCAATCCTATAATATGGGCTTAAGTACTGAACCACAAAGTTTGGAATGACATGCTATCTTCACTACATAAAAATACAATACATAGTTTAAAATACCTAGCTTTAATTTCTCTAACAAAGAGAACACAGAGTACTTAGAAGCAATCAGAAAGCAGATTTTTTTTTTTTTTTTTACAATTTACAGGCATCCCTGTTTGTTAAAAATCTTAATGGGTGTTTGTATTTCTCTTGATGAAAAGTGTCAAATATGTATGAACATAGTGAGAATGGCATTAATTCCTCACACTTAAAAACAACAAAAGAAAAAATTGTTAATTGGACTTCATTGAAATTAAACTCTTGTGCCTCAAAAGACTCAAAAACAGTGAAGAGGCAGCACAAAGATGGAAGAGAATATTTGCAAATCACATATATGGTAAGGGACTGGCATCCAGAATACGTGTCTTACAATTCAATAAAACAAAAAGACCAAAAACCAATACTGTATAATGGACAAAGGATTTCAATGGACATTTGTCTAAAGAAGTTGTAAAATGGCCAATGAACACATGAAATGATTTTAACATCTTTAGTCATCAGGGAAATACACATCAAAACCATGAGATAATTACTTTGCACCTACTATAATAGGGATAATCAAAGAGATGGAAAATAGCAAGTGTTGGTGAGGATATGGAGAAATTAAAACTCTCATCTGGTGCTGGTGGGCATGTAAAATGATGTAGTTGCTTTGAAAGTAGTCTGACAGTTCTTCAAAACGTTAAATGTAGCACTATCATATTAGCCAGCAGTTCTAGTACTAGGTGTATACCCAAGAGAAATGGGAAATATGTCCAACCAAATCCTTGAACATGAATATTCATCGCAGCAGTAATCACAATAGCAAAAGAGTGGGAACAACTCAAATTTCCATCAACTGATGACTGGATAAACCATATATAGTGTGTCCATACAGTGGAGTATTACTGAGCCATAAAAAGGAATGAAGTATTGATATGTACTGTAATATGGATGAATTTTGAAAACATTAAGCTAAGTGAAGGAAGACAGATACAAAAGGCCATGTGTTGGGCAGCCCCAGTGGCGCAGCGGTTTAGCTCTGCCTACAGCTTGGGGTGTGATCTTGGAGACCCGGGATCGAGTCCCACATCGGGCTTCCTGCGTGGAACCTGCTTCTCCCTCTGCTTGTCTCTGCCTCTCTCTCTCTCTCTCAATAAATGAATAAATGAACAAACAAATAAATAAATCTTTAAAAAAAAAAGCCATGTGTTGTAAGACTCATTCACAGACATCTGTAGACTGAATCAACAAAATCCATAGAGTCAGTAGATTAGTGGTCCCCAGGGGAAGGGGAGAGTGGGGAGTGACTGCTAGTGGTACAGTGTTTCTTTCTGGAGTAATGAAAATACAACCTTGAGAATATACTAAAAACCACTGATTTGTATGCTTTAGGGGGTGGTGATTTCACGCTAGGCAAATTTTATTTCTTTAAAAAAAACTCCTACTTACCCACAGTGTCAGTTAGTATAAGATTTACTTCATACTTGCTTTATCCCTTCTGGTTTTTTTTATTACTTTTTTCTGGTATTTTAAAATTCCTAATTCATTTTATTCCTAGATATTTTAGTATGCACCTCTAAAAATACAGACATTTGCTTATATAACCACAGTTATTTTTTTTTTTTAAGAATTTATTTATTCATGACAGACACAGAGAAAGAGGCAGAAACACAGGCAGAGGGAGAAGCAGGCTACATGCCAGGAACTTGATGTGGGACTCGATCCCGGGTCTCCAGGATAACACCCCAGGCTGAAGGCGGCGCTAAACCACTGAGCCACTGGGGCTGCCCCCACAGTTCCGTTAATATTGCTAACATACTTAACAGTTCTTTTATTATCATATAGCACTCTAGTCCATATTCATTTTACTAATTATCTGGGTTGGTTTGCTTGAATTGGAGTCCAGAGAAGATTATCTTATGGTATATTATTTATTGTATGTCCTAAGTCAGTGCCTGTGAAAAAAGCTTGGTCAGTCACCTGTAGATTGTCTCATGATTTGTCATCCTGTAAATTGTCCCATGATTTGGATTTGTCTATATGCTTAGGCATGGCTGTCATTTTTCTTGTTTTTCTTTTCCCTCTATAAAGCAAAAGTTAGCTTTAAAGTCTTGATTCATAGTCAAGTTTTTTTGGAGGGGAGGGGGGCACATGTATAATTTTTCATACTTCCCAACCCTGACAGTTTAACTGACCAGTGGTAAGTTCCTATACTGTCATTTAAAAGTGCTCTATTCTGCTTAACGGGAAAATATGTTTAGTTCATTAATTTGATATTTTTAGGGATTGTTGGGTATTTAGTTGATAAAATAATCTTTTTCTCAAACAGATTCACCTGTTGATGTTTGTTTACAATCATGGTTGAAGAATAAGGACAACAAGGTAATCTTTCATATGTTATCAATTTCTGGAGTGTTACTGAGAGAGTACAAGGTCCTGTTTCACAGATGCAGGTGTTAGATAGTAGTAATAATAGTTAAAGTCTTGTACTTTAAATAGCAGAAATCCTGGCTACTGCTTCAAGTTACCAGGACATGAGAGCAGTCCTGGTCCAGGGTTCCATGTGTCATCAGGACTTTGCCACCTTTGCTCTACTTCACCCCTTGGTGGCTGCCTCTAGAATAATGGCTCTGGGAGGGAAAGGGTTTCTCTCTGTTTCATTTATTTTATCTTGGGTGCCTGGCACATGGTTGGTAGTCAGTAATGATTAAGAGGTATCTTCAATTGTGGGCAATCCAAGTGAAGTAGTCAGTAATTGATTAAGAGGTATCTTCACTTGTGGGCAATTCATCCAAGAATGAATCCAAGCTACATTCTTAATATTCGTGATAAAAAAAGAAGACTGTGATCTTCCTTTGAGAGTAAATTTAAAAAAAGAAAAGGATGACAACTATAATGAGCTCACTAGGGTCCTATGTTTTTCTCTATGTAAGTCACTGTTCCAAGGGATAAGTTGGAATAAAATACTGTTTGTTGAGCCTGGACTCAGGCTGCTTCTGTGTGTGTTTACATACAGATTGGAGTGCAGCTGACAACCCCCCCAGGTCCACATGATGTAAAAAGAGATGAGCTCCTCAAAGGAAAAGATGCTTAGCAGAGCAGTAGTTCGTGTCCAACACAAATCGTTGGCAGGAATTTCAAGTCTGGAGTCTTGTATTTATATTTTATAAACAAAAAGGTCTAAAGAGTTATTTCTCTGTGCTACAGGTTGGCAATCTGTACCTTATTGTCCAAATCCGATCTGCCCATTTCTGTAAAGTTTTGTTGGAACACAGCCATACCCATTTGTTTCTGTATTGTTTAGGGCTGCTTTGTGCTATGATAGCCGAGTTGAGAATTTGTGACAGAGACTGTAAGGCAGACAAAACCCGAAATCTTGCTAGCTGACTCTACAGAAAATGTTTGCTGACCCCTGCTCTATACACTTGCTACTTGTATTAACAAACTTTCAAATTTGAGAGGTGCCTTTTAAAGGAAATTCAGGTGTAGTCAAATTGAAATTAAGTCAGAAGCATGATTTCTTGAACACTTAGAATGCCATAGTTTCTCAAGGGAAAGAACATAACTTATCTTCATGGTAGGAAATTTGTTTTTTAGGATGGCTGAAAATTGACTTCCAAAAAAGTATTAAAAGCCACTGATAGTAAGGGAGGGACCATAACACTGGAAAGCAGCAAAGCAAGTATAGAAACATGAGATACTTAATAAAAGGGAGATGATAAAGTAAGAGCAAGAGGGGAAAAAAAATGTTAGAAAACATAGACCAGAGGGAGCTATTACTGCATTTGACTTGTGTGTGTGTATGTGTGTGTGTGTGTGTGTGTGTGTTGGTGAGCATAAATCTAATTTTAAAGATGGCGATGTCTGACATATATTTAATATGATTGTGAAATAAAATTGACACATAGAAGGCAATGTTCTCTTTTATTCTGGGCCTTGAATGCCCTTAATAAACTGCTGTGTGCCCTTGGGTTATGTGGTCCCTGGGTTGAGGAATAGGAAACTCAGCAATGCCATCGTAAGTTGCAGAGTCCAACTTGGCTGTTACCTTCACTTCCTACCCCAAGCCTTGTATTGTTCAAATTCAGTTGGGTATTAGTATACTAACTATATGACTAGGTCTTTTGAGCTTGTGCATACAATATGAGATATTAAATTTTACTAATGTCTCAGTGAGTGGATCAGGAGAGGAAGGTGGCATGGGGTCAAGGAGAGTTACTGATACACATAAAACAGGTAGACCTTTGTTGCCTAAGTTGTGAATTACAAATACTGAGCACATTAGTGGTCCGTTTTGCAACCTTGTACTGTGGTCTTCAGAGTAGTGAGTTTGCTTCTGTTACTTGCATTTTATTTCTTGTAGATTGTTGTTCCTCATGCTGGAAGACCTTTTGAAGACAAGAATCCACACAGTGACTTAAGCCACACTAGTTTATTAGAAAATGAGAAACTTCCATCACTGAGAAGCTTGGAGGATTCTTCTGGTACTGTAAAGTGACTTGTGTTCTCCTAGTCCTTACCTGGCTACGCCACATCTTCCTATGTCTTTGTTTCAGTAGTTACTTTGCCAGCTTTTGATTTCTTTGTTTTCTCCTTTCACTGCTCCCTACCAGCACTCAGATGGCTGCTTCTGTTGAGTGATGGAACTTTTTAAAGTTTATTATGAAACCTGATATGATTATGCTCATCCCTCAGTTTGTTATCATTAGGATACAGAGTATAAAGCACTATATTAAAAAATTGGGGGAACAATGAAATACTTAGCCTTTGAAAGGTCTGCCATTTAAGAACTAACCCTCTGACTACAGTAAGTGTATCTCAACAGTACAAATTGTGCAGGAATCCTAGGAGGGTGACAAGTTCTGATTGAGGAAGGTATCTGTGAAGCTTTATTAAAAGGGGATGCAATTTTTCCTTTTTCTTGAAAATACCCATGATAGACCTTAACATATATTTAGGAAGAGAAGTGTTTTCAGGACTTCAATAAAGGCCCTAGGGTGGAGGCATTTTAGGCCATGATTGGAGAATAGCCAAACTCTTGTGGTTTTGTGTGGCATGTTTAAGTACCTGTAGAAGGCTATTTTGGGAAATAAACTCAGAAGAGTAGGAAGGGACCAAATTAATGACAGGTTTGAAGGCCAGGCTGATGAGCTGAGTGGGATAAATAAAAATTATAAATTCAGGATAGGTTTTGCTACCAAAGTTTTTAGATATATTTGGATTATGGAATTGTGAATAAGGAATCATTAAATTCAGACAGATCTTTGTTTTAGTAGGCTAGGTTTTTAGAGGTGAAATACCTAAGTAAAAAATTATGAGCATTTTTAAGGCTCTTAATGCTGACTGCAAAATTATCCTCTTGAAAAGGCAGTGACAAATTACATTACTGTTACTAGTGCTTGAGAGTCCTAGTATTTATCCTGGCTTTGCTGTACTGGGTGTTAGAACACTAAAAACCACTGCTAGTGTTTTGTTTATTTACAACTTTTTGGTTTTGATGGGAGTTGAGTAATTTTTTTCGTATCTCTTGGTATTCAACTTTGCTATATATTTTTTCCTTAGTTGCTTCTTTCTCAATATCAAGTATTGTTTGAAGTTTCATTTTATACTTAACCATTAACTCACCAAGAATATTTTTTTACTTCTCCTGTTACAGGCTTATCTGTCCCTTTTTGATAGTTACCCACTGGCACACTGTTTTCTAAGGAACCTACGCTTTTCCCACTGATCTTTGATGCCACATTCATTCTAACTTTTGCCATATGCCAGAATTTTTTTCTGTGCTATTCTCTCAAAGAAGATTAAATATTTAGTTTGTATTAGAAGGCTCATAATGATTTATAGACTGAAGTTATGAATAGTTTTTTCATTACGTGGATGTTAAATTTACATGGACTGTTGACCCATGTGTTTTATTGACTTTTTTTTTTTTTTAATTTTAATTCCAGTATAGTTAACATACAGTGTTATATTACTTTCAGGTATGCAATAGAGTGATTTAATCAGTTTTGTGCCTTACTTTGTGTTTATCATGAAAAGTGTGCTCTACATTACCTATTTCATGGCTTCCCACCACCCTTCCCTCTGGTGACCATCAGTTCTCTGGAATTAAAAGTCTGTTTCTCAGTTTGTCCCCCTTTCACTTTGTTTTCCCCTTAGCTTGTTTGTTTTGTTTTTAAATTTCACATAGAAATAGAGTCATATGGTAGTTCTTTCTGTGATTACCTTATTTCACTTAGCATAATAGATTCTAGCTTGATCCATGTTGTTCAAAATGGCAACATTTTATTTTTTTATATTAATTTTTTTTACAAAGGATTTTTATTATTTATTTGGGAGAAAGAGGCAGTGCAAGAAGGGGGAAGGGATAGAGGAAGAAGCAGACTCTCCACTGAGTAGGAGCCCAGTCAGATCATGACCTGAGCTGAAAGCAGGTGCTTAACTACCTAAGCTACCCAGGTGGCCCAGGATTTTATTTTCTTTTATGGGTAGTATTCCTGTGGGTGTGTGGACCACATCTTTGGTATCCATTCATCAATGGATAGACACTTGAGCTGCTTCCATAGTTAGGCTATTGTAAATAATGAGGCAGTAAACATAGGAGTGTGCATATAGCCCTTTGAATTACTGTTTGTAAAAAAAAAAAATGAATTACTATTTGTATATGTTTTGGGGGTTTTTTTTTGATTGGGTTAAAATTTTTGCTTATATTTTTCTCATTTTTTTAATTAAAATTTTTTTAAAAATCCGCTAACTTTCATAGTGTATTATTAGTTTCAGAGGTAGAGTTCCGTGATTTATCAGTCTTCTATAACACCCAGTGCTCATTACATCATGTGCCCTCCTTAATGTTCATTACCCAGTTACCCTATTTCCCCCACCCCCACCCCTCCTCAGTTTGTTTCCTGTGATTGTCTCTTATAGTTTGTCTCCCTCTCTGATTTTGTCTTCATTTTTTCTCTCTTCTCCTATGATCCTCTGTTTTGTTAAATTCCACAAATGAGTGAGATCATATGACAGTTCTTTCTCTAATTGATTTATTTCACTCAGCATAATATCCTCTAGATCCATCCATGTCTTTGCAAATGGCAAGATTTCAATTTTGATGAATGAGAAGGATTCCATTGTATGTACGTGTGTGTGTGTGTGTGTGTGTGTGTACAAACCACATTTTTATACATTCATCTGTCGATGGACATCTGACATCTGGGCTCTTTCCATAGTTTGGCTATTGTGGATACTGCTGCTATAAACATTGGGATGCAGGTGCCTCTTCAGATCACTACACTTTTATATTTGGGGTAAATACCTGGTGGTGCAATGGCAGGGTTTTAGGGTAGCTCTTTTCAACTTTTTGAGGAACCTACACATTGTTTTCCAGAGTGGCTGCACCAGCTTGCATTCTCACCAACAGTGCAAGAGGGTTCCCCTTTCTCCACATCCTTGCCAACCTCTGTTGTTTCCTGACTTGTTAATTTTAGCCATTCTGACTGGTGAAAGGTGGTATCTCATTGTGGTTTTGATTTGTATTTCCCTGATGGCAAGTGATGTTGAGCATTTTTTCACGTGTCTGTTGGCCATGTGTCTGTCTGTCTTTGGAGAAATGCCTGTTCATGTCTTCGCCCATTGCTCAATTGGATTATTCTTTGGGTGTTGAGCTTGATAAGTTCTTCATAGATTTTGGATACTAGCCCTTTATCTGATAGGACATGTGCAAATATCTTTTCCCATTCTGTTGGTTGTCTTTTAATTTTTTATCTTGATGATAGTTCATTTTTGTCTTTGTTTCCCTTCCCTTTGGAGATGTATCTAGCAAAAAGTTGCAGTGGCCGGTGTCTGTAGGAGTTGCTGCCTATATGTCCTTTAGTATTTTGATGGATTTTTGTCTTTTTTTCATCAATTTTGAGTATTTTTTTGTACAGTGTAAGAAAGTGGTCCAGTGTCGTTCTTCTGCATGTGGCTGCCCAACTTTCCTAGCACCATTTGTTGAAGAGACTTTTTTCCATTAGATATTTTTTGCTGCTTTGTTGAAGATGATTGACCATAGAATTGAGGCTCCATTTCTGTGTTTTCTGTTCTGGTCCATTGATCTTTGTGTCTGTGGTTGTGCCAGTACCATACTGTCTTGATGAGAGCTCTGTAATACAGCTTGAAGTCTGGAATTGTGATGCCACCAGCTTTGGTTTTCTTTTTCAACATTCCTTTGGCTATTTGGGGTCTTTTCTATTTCCATACAAATTTTAGGATTGTTTGTTCCAGCTCTGTGAAAAAAGTTGAAGGTAATTTGATAGGTATTGCATTGAATGTATAGATTATTCTAAGTAGCATAGACATTTTAACAATTTTTGTTCTCCAATCCATGAGCATGGAATGTTTTTCCTTTGTGTCTTCCTCAATTTCTTTCATGAGTGTTCTATAGTTTCCTGCATACAGGTCCTTTGCTTCTTTGGTTAGGTTTACTCGTAGGTATCTTATGGTTTTGGGTGCAATTGTAAATGGGATCAACTCTTTAATTTTTCTTCTGTCTAATGATATGTATAGAAATGCCACTGATTTCTGTGCATTGATTTTTGTATCCTGCCACTTTGCTGAATTCCTGAATGATTTCTAGCAATTTGGAGGTGGAGTCTTTGGGGGTTTCCATGTAGAATGTTAAGTCATATGCAAAGAGTGACGACTTTGCCGATTTGGGTGCCTTTTATTTCTTTTTGTTGTCTGATGCTGAGGCTAGGACATCTAGTACTACATTGAACAACAGTGGTGAGAGTGGACATTTCTGTCGTGTTCCTGCCTTAGGGGAAAGGCTCTCAGTTTTTCCCCATTGAGAATGATATTCGCTGTGGACTTTCCCTTGATGGCTTTTAAGATATTGCAGTATTTTCCCTCTATCCCTACACTGTGGAGTATATTTTTTTATTGTATATTTTTTGTATATTTTTATTTTTTGGTATTTTTTTAATTGGAGTTCAGTTTGCCAACATATACCATAACACCCAGTGCTCATCCCGTCAAGTGCCCCACTCAGTGCCCGTCACCCAGTCACCCCATCCCCCCACCCACCTCTCCTTCCACTATCCCTTGTTCGTTTCCCAGAGTTAGGAGTCTCTCATGTTCTGTCACCCTCACTGATATTTCTCACTCATTTTCTCTCCTTTCCCCTTTATTCCTTTACACTATTTTTTATATTCCCCAAATGAATGAGACCATATAATGTTTGTCCTTCTTCGATTGACTTACTTCACTCAGCATCATACCCTCCAGTTCTATCCACGTTAAAGGTGGGTATTCATCGTTGCTAATGGCTGAGTAATATTCCATTGTACATATAGACCACATCTTCTTTATCCATTCATCTTTCGATGGACACTGAGGCTCCTTCCACAGTTTGGCTATTGTGGACATTGTTGCTATAAACATTGGGGTGCGGTGTCCTGCCGTTTCACTGCTTCTGTATCTTTGGGGTAAATCCCCAGCAGTGCAATTG